ATCCCTTTTTTAATAATATTTAGAAAAAAATAGATTTAATTAAATAAAAATATCTTTCATACACGATACGATAATAAAGGTTTTTTTACTATAAAAACAAACATTTACATGACCGGATATGAAATTTTTTTATTTGATTCCATTTATATAGTCACTTATATGGTAATTAATAATTCATTTATAGACATCAGTGAAATCAATTTATTCAAAAATAATAATTTTTGAAAATAAAGCTGTTTCTCTCACACGATAATTTGATAAATGATAACACAAGACATGCTGTTTACATATCAAGTCATTCGAATGAAAACTTTCTTAAATGCTATTTTTACGAAAAGGAAATTCTTGTGAATGAAAATTTTGAGAAAAAGAATTTCTATTAAATAACATGCATAAAATAAATACAATGATAAATAAATAAAATATGGGAAATAATGATGATCCAGAAAGCATGTGCAGTAAGGTTAGAGGTTAGAGTCAACCATTTGTATATTCATCAAGGATAATAAAAACTTACCTCGAAATGTTTTGATTAAAAAGTCTGCATGCTCCGGTGCAACGACTTGTAGAAATTTTATTGTGCTTTCATCCATTTTTTATCACAATAATTAACATGATTAACACTTTTCACGAGACGCGACGATATGAACCGTCATTACAAGCGCGGCATCCATATGCAATTAACACAATGCGCTTGCGCGTCACATGACTTACCGGTATGCTCCTCAATTGGTTGCCTCAAGCAACTTGGTTGATGACGGTGGCCTACTACAAGCTAGCATGCAATATCCAATTCAAATATAAATTTTAAAATGATAATGTGACCAACGGTGATGGTTGATATATCATTTTAGATATAGATGTTACAACAAATTCTCTGTTATCCAATAAAAAATGAATGCATTAGCCAACCATTTTTCTCCGTGATACTGTCAGCAATCAGCGCTGTACTAACCTTAATAACGAATTTTCAGCTTCAAGGAGATTCTTTCAAACTAAATAGCCCTCGGAGATCCCTACTTTCAAGTTAAATTTCCATTCAGAAAATGTGAAAAATAACCGTAAAAATAGACCGAGTTCTAAAAAGTCTGTGTGAATTCTGTGTCCTTGAAGATAAGATACCCTTTTTCACTTTTGCCCTTATCTTTAAAGTACCTGACACCACAAGCCATCGAAGATAGAATCTGCAAAAAGAAAAATTAAAATACTGTCAGCGCTGTACTAACATGTAGTTAAATCTTTAATCGGTCGGTAATATAGAAAGCTATAAAAAATTTCATTTCCAAATTTGACAAAAATAACTGTAGCATCGAGATTAAACCTAAAGTAATTGAATAACACAAAAATTTTGAAAATATGACTTATAGTTTTCGAGAACTCGGTGTCGATATGATCGCCAATTTTTTCTGACTAACACAATTATTATTTGCTCAAATTTTCATAAGAAAGAATAGTCATTCAAAAGAATTTTTATTTTACAGAAAGAATTTTTTTCTAGCCCAATTTTCATTTGTTCGAATTTCTATTCTACAGAATACTTAAAACGCCGAATTTTTATTTAACAGAACTTTCATTTGTCCTAATAAATATTTGGTAGAATTTGGAGGCTAATTTTAAAAATTATGATTGGTTAATTTAAAAATTTTGGCACAAATATTTTTTCGAACGGATGAAAGTTCTGTAAAATAAAAAATTCGGCGTTTTAAGTATTCTGTAGAATATAAATGGGAACAAATGAAAATTCGGCTAGAAAAAAATTCATTCTGTAAAATAAAAATTCTTTGACTATTCTGTCTAATGAAAATTTGAGCAAACAATAATTCCCTGACAAATTCAAATTCGGTGAAATAAAAAATATGTAAATTGAAAATTCATTTAAGTAAGAAATCCGTAATATATAAATTTGGTTAAATGTAATTTCTATATTTCAAAGAAATTAAAATGCAGCTAAAAGTAAATTTTAGATAATAAAATTCTGTAAAATGAAAATTCTAATAAAACGCAAATTTTTACTATATATTGTGGTATTTAAACTCTTTCGACTTTTTAATCCAATGAATTATCACTCACATGGGATATTGATTTTTTTAAAAAAAAGTAGCTCGACCACCTGACGGGCATAATTTGTTAAAGTTATTAAAAGTTTTTTTAAAAATAAATAAAATAAAACAGCCCGACCAGTTCTCGATCATAAACAAAGTAGATAAATTGCGAAATTTTGAAAGTTGATTGAAAAATGCTATTCTCTATTTGCACATATATGTGTGTAAAACTCTCGTTATACTCTTTTCCGGCGCAAGAACAATCAACGGATGTTTTCAATTAAATGATTATGTGAGATATTTAAATTTACTTTTTCCTTGACAGCTCATCACTATTATAGAAAATTCTAGTATTTATTTAAAAAAAAATTAAAATTCTCCTTCGTTTTGTACAACTATTAAAATTTTAAATTATATTTTTTACAACTAGAAATAATAAGTTAATTTATTCTTAAAATTAAAAATATAAAAATTGTACACGGAAAAAATATAAAGTAACTTTTACTATTTACAAAAGTAAAATCTGAACTTTACGGAACTTCTGCAAATTTCTGGCGACTTTTGCTTCAGAAATAGAAAAAATTACTATTAAAATAGTAAAGGTTACTCCGGATATAGTAGTTTTTACTATTTACGAAGCAAAAGTTGCCAAAAATGGGCAGAAATACCGGACATTTTAGGATTTACTATACGGAAGTGGCAAAAGTTACTTTATTTTTCTTTTCCATTTTTCACTGTATATAAAATACTCTATAAATTTGTGTTAGTAAAATTAACTAATTTGAATTAATGACTCACTCTTTGCTTTTTTTTACTATCGAATTAGTCAAATTTAATTAATTCAAAGGCAAAAAGTCAGTTACTAATTCAAATTAGTTAAAATTTTTACTAATTCTTTAGAGATTTTTTAGATTTTAACAATTGTACAAAACAACATTTTCATCGCGGTTGTACAGAACATCGATTATTTTATTCTTAAACCCAATGTTGTCCCATTTTTATATTTTATACAGTTTTGTTAAAAAAAATCTCAATTTTCTAAAAAAAGTAAGAAAAGAAATTTTTAAGACGGAATAAGAGGTTGAAATTGAAAAATAAGGGTTAATTTTTGTAAAAAATTTTGTTTGAAAAAATGAAAAACTCTTATTGACAAATTAAAATCCATAAAATTTTGTAGAGAAATTATACGGATTTGAAAATAACGCAGTGTTAATTAAAAACTCAAAACTTCAATCTCCATTTACTTTTTATAATTTTTAAGAAAATAAGTTTATATTTCGAAATTTTGTTACTTTCATATAGGACAACAATTTACTAAAGTATCAAGCCTAAAATCTGTTTAATTAAATAAACATTTTTCACTTGGAAATAATTTTATTAATATTAAGATTCACTTAAATACATTTTTTGAATTAAACATTTTTCACAATTCTGTACTGTATCCCATGTAAATTCACTAAAAGTGTTATCCATATTACTTCAGCAACAAATATATTGTCTTTTTTTTGTAAACACTTCCTCTGTTATAGAATTGCAGTAGTAAAGATTATTATCCTCTTTAATACATATTTCTGCAATTCGAAAGAAATAAAATTAAACTTTTATGTTGTAATTTACTGTTAATTATTTTTATTACATTGGTTACATTAATAAAATCCTTAGTTACCTTTCGCCTCCTTTTTAGAAGTATATACTTCACCCTTTCTTCCCAAACATATATAATGCGATTCTTTTTTTTTCACGATGCATTCCGCTAAAAAAATTTATTTTATAAATGGACATTTAATTTTTAAATAATTTTGTAAATTTTAATATTTACAATTTGAACAAACTTAAATCACTAATACCTATGTTCAAAGATCTAGAATAATGTATGGAAAATTTTTAAACTTTTACAACATTTTTTCGTTCCTGAAATATGTTAAAAAAATGTCCGAGCATGTTTTACTACAACTCAGCAGCGAGGTGTCGAGGTGGCGAAAAATGATGATCGACGGCTGAGTTGTAGTAAAACATGCTCGGACATTTTTTTAACATATTTCAGGACAAAACATTTTTTTAAGTTTCAAAAAAGCAAATTAAAGCTAAGATCTTAAAAATTATGTTGTAAGAGTTTAAAATTTTTCCAAACATTATTCTAGATTATGCCGGGAATCAAAAATATTAATACGAAAGTAGGAAAATTGGATATTTTTTTCTTTAATTCTTTCCGATGTTATAATCGCTCCAAAAAGTAAAAAAAAAATATAAAAGTTCTTGACATACATTCAGAAACAGAATTTTATCAGCCATCTAAGTTTTAAGTCTCTAACTTTTTTCTAACTTAAAATATCTTACTTTAAAGTCAGCATCAAATTTACACTCTACGCACGTCAAGCGTACCGACAATTTCTGATGGTACTGTATATTAAAAGAAATTTTTTCAATTTTAGTTTCTATATGTTTTTTGGCTTGTTTGTTCTTATGTAGTTTATTTTTATAAATGGTGTATCAGAACACTCGATTTTAGAGAAAATGCAACTCGCACTTGGCCGATATTTTTATTTTTAATAAATATATCATTAGTTAAAAATAAAATCAAACTATACCTTCAATATCTTCCTTTTTTTCTAAACCAATGTCAGATAAATATGTGTTACAGTAGTACCGACCAAAATCACCCTGTCTAATACATTTTTCTGCAATTTGAAAGAAATAAAATATTATACTTTTATTTAGTAATTTACTATTAACTATTGTATAATATTATAGTTTAAGAAGATCCTTAGCTACCTTCTGCTTTCCAAAAATCGTCAAATCGTCGAAATCCTCCTATACATGTAAAATATATATTTCTCAAAAGCAATGAGTGTAGTACCCTTATTACGCATTTATCTAAAAAAAATTGAATTTTTATTTTATAAATTAATATTTTATTTTACCTTTTGATCACCAATTAAAAATCAAACAAAACTTTACCAGCAGCTTTACTTCTCTTATGGAAACTTTTTATACCATAAATCAAATCCATGTCATCACCAGAAACTAATTGATAATTATTAATAATAATATACAAAATGAAAGAAATTACAGAAATTGTTAGTTTCATGTTGAATATTCAAATCTATTTTTGTAGATATAATTTTACAAAGTATAAAACAAAACTACAAAAGTGTCGTCAGAGAAATTTATTTCTGCGTTGTAATAATTTTTGTATACAAGTAAATCTATAGTTGAATTGCATTGCGATTTATACTGTAGATACTTTTTTATAGTTTTTTTTTGTAAGAATTCATGTTTTTTTTATCGTCAAAAAGAACGGCATAAAAAAATGTTAGTCATTTCATTACAAAATAATCTCCAATTTCTATTTCCTACACGGAGAAAAATGAAAATTGAGATTTTGAACTGAGTATAGAACAATTTCAACAATTTCAAATCGAATTTCTCTCCGTGTAGCACAGTAAATTTTTTTTATAGAATAATGGATAATAAATATTTATTTGAAAATATGAAAATATTTAAAGAACCTAAATTAATTTTTCATTTTATTAAATATATTAATTTCAAAAAACTTCCACACAAATTGCGAAAAACCTTAACAGTTATCAACATATGAGGCATTCTATTTCTCTGAATCCACTGAAAAGTCCATTACAATCTTTAGATGGAAGAAACTAGAGAATCCAAGCTTTCTTCTTAGACAATTTTCAACAAAATTGCAGATGACATGTTTTTAGATATCAGTACTTGTTTTTAAATACAAATTAAACTAGGAAATAATTATTTTAAAAAAAGCTTATTATTATCTGAAAGCTTGAGAAATTCACTATTAAAAGCATTATTTACATTTTATATTTAAAGTTTTTTAAATAAAATAAATTATATATGAAAAGTGCTCAACACACGATAGTCTTTTGCATGTGGTACGATTTGAAATAGAATGCCTCATATAATAAAATTTTAAATATTAAAAATAAAAAAAGATTATAGTTTGCTTTTTCATATAAAAAGTTTATGTTTGTCAATAGTTTTTAATACATAATTATTACATTAATTTTATACAATCAATTAAAATTTTGTTAAGATTAATATAATTTTAAACATATTTTTAAAATAGTATTTTTTTATTTTTTCTGTAGTTATCAAATGTATAAAATTTAATTGGATTTTTAGTGGACCTTGTCCATATTGAAAATTCAATGTTATATTCGCGATATAATTTTTATGCGCGTGGATGATTTAATTTATCTTGTAAGGAAAACAATATTTTTTTGACATTTTTATGAAACAAAAAATATTCTCTTTCCGGGTTTGATAATGACAATCTTTTTACTTTTTAAATCTGATATATACGAAATATAACCCTATTATAAGCAAACACGGAAAATGCGATAAAAGTTTTTATTCACTATTATTAATCAATTAAATATGTTATTAATTACAATACTCTCTAAATCTGAATTAGTAAAAATGTTTACTAATTTAAATTAGTGACTCACTTTTTGCTTTAGAATTAGTTAAATTTTACGAATAAATTGTACTTAGTAAAAGTTACTAATAATTAGTAAAATTTTACTCATTCAGAAGCAAAATGTGAGTCACTAATTCAAATTAGTAAACATTTTTACTAATTCAGATTTAGAGAGTAAATGGATTTTTAATAAATAATATAAATTTTAAATAATCATTTTCACCACAGTTTCATGTAAAAAAATTACTAATAATTTAAACATTTTTACTAATTTTAAATAAGTGATTTAATTTTTATTAATTCAGATTTAGATTAATTTATTTATATTTTTTCAATTAAACAAAAAAAAAAGAAACCATCTAATTTGATATTTTTAACAATGAGATAGTTTTGATAAATTAGTATTTCGCTCGGATATCACAAACCCGTCTTTTAACATAAATTTAAAAGAATAAGCTCACGTCATATAAAAAGAAAAATTATAAAAAGCTATCAGACGTGAAAGAAAACAAAGAATTAAACATTTTCGTCATCTTTTCAAACAAACATTCTTCAGTGTTCTTAAGTATATTTTGTATGTATATGTTTAATTCATTATTTTGCTTTATGACATGTTTTTTTTTTGGTTTTTTTTTGTTTTAAATGACGTGAGCTCTTTCATTTAACTTTTATGTTATCAGTACCGAAAAGAATATTCTAAAAAAGTAATAATATTTTTTCTCATTTAATTAATATTTCAATAAAATTTATTCTTGATTCAGTATATATTTTACTCTCAAAATAAGAATATATTTTACATACGCAATGTATAAATGTTTTATTTTAATTAAATTTAAAATATATTTTTATTATTGTGTCTTTTTTTATATTTATTACTTTCAGAGCGTATAGGTGAGCATTCCATGTCAAATTTTCATTCAGAAATTATTTTTTTATTGAAATTCAAAATGGCGGATCCAATATGGCGACCGAATTTTTAAAATTTCATTGAATTTATTTGAAACCTGTTATTTGGGGGTTTTTGGGGTCACTGATTACGAATTTGAAGTCAATTTTTTCAAATTCGTAATCAGCAACCCCAAAAACCTTCAAGTAACAACTTTCAAATAAATTCGTTGAAATTTTAAAAATTCGGTCGCCATATTGGATCTGCCATTTTGAATTTTTGAAAACTGACATCGAATTCGTAATCAGCGATCTAATAAACCGCCGGGTGACGAGTTTTAAGCGAATTCAATCAACTTTTTAAATTTCGTCCGCATATTGGATCTGCCATTTTGAATTTTCAAAATCTGACTTCAGATTCGTAATCAGCGAATTATAATAAATAGAAAAGATTACAAGAAAAAATTATATAATTTTCCTACTTTCATACTAATGTTCTTAACTCCCGGCATAATCTAGAATAATTTATAGAAATATTTTAAATTCTTACAAAATAATCGTTAAGATTTTAACTTTAATTTTCTTTTTCTGAAACATAAAAAATGTTTTGTGGTTCCTGAAATATGTTGAAAATTATCCGAGCATGTTTTTTTACAATTCAGCAACGAGGCGGCAAATAGTGATAATCTGAGTTGTAGAAAAACATACTCGAACATTTTTTAACTGTGCGAGTGAAATAATTCCATGAAAGTTTAGCTCGTTTATAAGTTAAAAAAAATCTCTCATGAATTTCATGATTTCTCGTAAAAGCTCCACAATATAATAATAACGAGGCGCACAAGATCTGAAAGTTAGTGTATGTCGCTCGTTATAGTATAAGATGACATTAAAGTTGTACAAATAAAATCAAATAATAGATTTGAAAGTTTTCTTTTAAAATATACGCGTCTCTTTCTTTAATTATTTTGCGTTATTTATTATTTATACTTTGTTGAAGGAATCTACTGAAAAGGCGCGCGTATTCTATTTAATGAGCAACAAAGCACAATTGTATGTTTTCTATGCATTAAATTATAGGAAGTGAACTCTCATTGCGCCTTAACATGAAAATACTCTTTTCACACTCGCACTTGACGGGTCCCGCGTATATTATTTGTCACGCTTGACAGAAGAGGCAAAAAAATAGCAACGTAACAAGCACATCATGATTTTCATTTTCCCAGTTGATATATAATAATAATTTAACAAAAATCTCCTCGGTCATCTCAAAGCCGATATATTATATAATCTTTCGGAGTTAATAATAATAATAATAATTATTATTATTATTATTATAAATAATAATGATAATAATAATTCAAGTACAAATATATTACATATGATGTATAAAGTTTATCTTCCGCATTGCAATTAATGCACTGTCAGTAACTAGTTTGAGGTCAACGCATTTATGTCTGTACCTATATATTATATATACGATTTCGTTATGCGTACAAAGAATCTTTATACTCTTTGATAAGTATTGCGTGATAATGAAAACCGAAGAAATTTGAAAAAAATTTTATAAATGTTTATTTCCATTTAACAAGGTACTATTGTGCAATATGATAAGCGATTTATATTTAATTTTCTTGGTAATTATTTTCATATTATACAAAGACAAAGAACTTACGAAAATTAGATGAAAAAAAATAATAATAATAATAATACGAGGAATTTATGCGGAAAATATTATTACACTCTTAATTATACATGTTTTTATGTAAACATATTTATTAATTAATTTATCTTTTTTTCCTCTTATATATATATATATGTCGTATATTTTCACATATTTTTTTAATGTTATAAAATCATTACTTATCAATTTATACAAAGTATAAAGTCATTTATATGCATAAAAAATGGTATACAAGATTTTAAAATTGAAAATATCATTGCGGAAACTATTTTAGAATACTGTATATAATGCAATTTATTTTTAAGAACGTTTATACCCGGGAATGCAGACCTATAGAAAAAAATATTTATTTGATATTTAAAAAATTAATATATTATTATTAATAATATTCACAAATATTATTAATACCAATATATTAATTTTTTAAATATCAAATAAATATATTTTTGCTATAATTCTTTTTATTTAGTATTTATTTTGTACTTAATGAAGAAAAAATTTATTTGATTCAAATACTTGATTACTTGACTATTATTAAATAAATATTTACTTGAATCAAATAATTTTTATTTGAATTAAATAAATTGTATTTGAATCAAATTTTTTTTTCAGTGCATAAAATTAGAATAAACTGATAATAATTTGTAAATAATTAAATTAAAAAATTTTTGAAACAAAATGTCACAGTACTGCCAATTGCTAAAATTTTTGCACCGGAATAATTTCAAAACATAACCTCAATAATGGATTTACTCAGTTCAAGAATTGTTATAATTAACTGGTCCATCACAATTCTTGAACAGAGTAAATCCATTATTGAGGTTATGTTTTGATATTATTCCGGTGCAAAATTTCAGCAATTGGCAATACTGTGGCTATACTATGTACACGGAGAGAAATAATTGGTTAGGCTATGCTAAGTATTGGATAGGGTAGCATTTTTTTGGGCTCTATAGCGCGATCAAATTAGTTTGCTGCTGCAACTATTTCTGTTGCATACTCTCAAGTTGGATACTGTAACAAATTTCGATAGCTAGTATATACATTCCGTTGAATGCCTCATCCATCTCTCTTGCGCACAGTTACCTTTAATTTTGTTAGTACAACTATTTTGATTGGTGGGATATCTATCCCTTTTTTAATAATATTTAGAAAAAAATAGATTTAATTAAATAAAAATATCTTTCATACACGATACGATAATAAAGGTTTTTTTTCTATAAAAACAAACATTTACTTGACTGGATATGAAATTTTTTTATTTGATTCCATTTATATAGTCACTTATATGGTAATTAATAATTCATTTATAGACATCAGTGAAATCAATTTATTCAAAAATAATAATTTTTGAAAATAAAGCTGTTTCTCTCACACGATAATTTGATAAATGATAACACAAGACATGCTGTTTACATATCAAGTCATTCGAATGAAAACTTTCTTAAATGCTATTTTTACGAAAAGGAAATTCTTGTGAATGAAAATTTTGAGAAAAAGAATTTCTATTAAATAACATGCATAAAATAAATACAATGATAAATAAATAAAATATGGGAAATAATGATGATCCAGAAAGCATGTGCAGTAAGGTTAGAGGTTAGAGTCAACCATTTGTATATTCATCAAGGATAATAAAAACTTACCTCGAAATGTTTTGATTAAAAAGTCTGCATGCTCCGGTGCAACGACTTGTAGAAATTTTATTGTGCTTTCATCCATTTTTTATCACAATAATTAACATGATTAACACTTTTCACGAGACGCGACGATATGAACCGTCATTACAAGCGCGGCATCCATATGCAATTAACACAATGCGCTTGCGCGTCACATGACTTACCGGTATGCTCCTCAATTGGTTGCCTCAAGCAACTTGGTTGATGACGGTGGCCTACTACAAGCTAGCATGCAATATCCAATTCAAATATAAATTTTAAAATGATAATGTGACCAACGGTGATGGTTGATATATCATTTTAGATATAGATGTTACAACAAATTCTCTGTTATCCAATAAAAAATGAATGCATTAGCCAACCATTTTTCTCCGTGATACTGTCAGCAATCAGCGCTGTACTAACCTTAATAACGAATTTTCAGCTTCAAGGAGATTCTTTCAAACTAAATAGCCCTCGGAGATCCCTACTTTCAAGTTAAATTTCCATTCAGAAAATGTGAAAAATAACCGTAAAAATAGACCGAGTTCTAAAAAGTCTGTGTGAATTCTGTGTCCTTGAAGATAAGATACCCTTTTTCACTTTTGCCCTTATCTTTAAAGTACCTGACACCACAAGCCATCGAAGATAGAATCTGCAAAAAGAAAAATTAAAATACTGTCAGCGCTGTACTAACATGTAGTTAAATCTTTAATCGGTCGGTAATATAGAAAGCTATAAAAAATTTCATTTCCAATGTTAAAGACGGATGTTGATTAACAAAAAAAAATAAATAAAGTAAACTAAATTTTGAAGAAAAATAATAAGTTAGAAACTACACTAATCTTTATTATTAACAACCCGCTTATTCGGAAAGCGTAAATGCTCTTCGCTAAAGAATTTTAGAATAAGGTAGTGGACTACCCCTCAGTAAATTATCAATTCAATAAACCCGGATAGACGGTATTTCAGAGAAAATGTTTAAAAGAAATATGAGACAAAGTAATTCAATGTGAAAAATAAATAAATAGAATCAAATTAAATTAACACTCAATTTATTACAAATTATTCTCAAAGTATTTGTTTTATACATGCAAAGAAAGATTTATTACAAAATTCAATAATTAAGCTACTTGACTTACGTCAAGTCTCACAAATAACAGCAATAACGATTCTATTTTCAAAATACAACTTCTATTTTGTTATGAAAATTGTTTGTGTGTTTGTGTAATGTATGTTTAAATTCTTTTTAAAAAGAAAAAAAGGCAATTGTTAAAAGACTCACCAAAATAATAATTATAATCAGACCAGAAATAAAGTATCGTATTACTTAAATACTCGTGTTTGTCACTTGATGCCTGAATGCGGAAGTCTTCTCTTATATACTTTTATTTAATATGAATTTCTCGATGCTATTTATTTAACTTGTTATATTCTTAAGGCACTTGCACTTTTAATATTAATCACGAAGATCAACCCTGACTTGGGGAATATTCAATTCTATCAACCACTTTTTGTGGGACTTCAATAATATAATCATCCGCCTTTTGCGGGAATCAACAATACATCCGCTCTGCGGGAATGAAACTGAACACTTGTTAACTCTTACTGATCCTTCGATCACTATTTAAACTCTTTTTAACAATCAGAATGGTGACAATGATCACTCCCGAATCATGTAGAAGGAGAGTTGATTTTGCAACTGACTTCTCCTTATTTTCATGCAATTTCAACAACGTTGCATTTTTAACTGGGGCAGTGATACATTCAATCACCTACTCTACTTATAATTTTCATTAATATTACTTAATCTTCCCAAAAGGATTAAGTAATTGTTATATATTGGAGACCCACATTTAAATGATATAATAAGAATTTAGAATATGTTATTATCTTGTAACATATTTCAATTTAACGATTCATTATAAATAAAGTATATGAAGAGACCTTTTGCATAATTATTAAATAATTTCGAAACAATAATTGAAATATTAACAATGAGAATAATAATGTGTGTTGTGTTTTATAATATAACAAATACTAAGAAAAATTAATAATTTATAATTATATAAAAAAAATTATAAAGTGACGGAAATTCCGTCCCTAACAAATACCCCCCTTCTTTCTGGCTGACGTCCCTTGGCAGCCTGTGCAGGTGTGATGTCATCGAATATAATTTTTTTTACAAAATTCCTCTCGTAGATATACATTTTAAAATGTTTACAATTTATCCTTGATCATGAAAGTGGTGTAGTTTGTTTAGTAGCTGAAATAAATGTTAGAACGAAAACTGATTTTTCCTTTTTTTTTTTATATATATATTTTTTTTAAATAGTAAATAGTCGTTTCCTCTTTTTTTGTTTTAGGAAGATTTTTATGAAAAGGATAAATTAGTTTTCATATAAAAAAAAAATGTAATTTTTTTGATAAAAAAAAATGAGACCAAATTTGAATACATGGATATATAATAAAATAATAAGAAATAAATGGAGATATGGAACACTTTGCTTACGTAGCAATTTTAAAGAATACAAATAAAATAATAAAGAAAGAAAAATGTGTTATATATGTATCTCCTTATATATCCAATTTTATTAATGTGCATATAATAAAAAAATGTTTACAAAAAAAAATGGTTACATTTTCACGATTTATAGATTTACAATTATTGACCAACTTAAAGTGGAAAATGAAGACTTTTAATACACAGTCTATGAATATATTTAATATAAAATAATAATAAAAAAATATGTTGGAGACTAAATATTAAAAAAAAAATATTCTCCAACCCCTGACCCTCTTTTTTTTCTTGCTGTCGTCCCCTGACAGCTTTTTAAATCGACAACAAAAATTCTTTGTTAATTATTTTTAAATTTTAGTTTGAAACAAATTTAATTTTTCCAAGTTTGAATTTTTTAGAATTGTTTAAAGGTAATTGAACTTAAATTTTAAAAAAATCTTTATATCTTGGGGAGTTAGATAAATAAATTTTTTAATACATGTAAATTTTAAAGTTTGAATGCATGCAGAATATACCACTTAAAAAATTGATTTCAATTTTTGAAAATGACTTGAAAATAAATAAATCAATTTTTTTTTGACAATTAAAACCCAAATAACAAAAATTACCCTAATTAAAAGCATGATTGTCGCATAAATACATTTTTTGAAAGTATAAATGATCTTTGTGAGAAGCATATAGTTTCTGTTGCTGATCACAAAAAAAAATTATTTCAATTTTACGTAATTTCCCTTTTTTTATAATTTAAAATTATTTCCAATATGTATAGTTACCTATATTTATAATTTCAATTAGTGTACATAAACCAAGCTAGTTATTTTTACTCATATATTTTGTTAATTCTAAATATTCAGTTTAAATAGTTAGAGTTAGAACAATATGATGTTTTAATTTAATTCATAAATTATACCCATTTTTTTTTATGATAAAAAAAAATCTAAAATTAAAATTCTTACTTGTTATGTGATTTAATGATTTGTAACCCAATTGGTTACATCTATATCTTAATTATTCCCAGTTTCCTATTAGTGTTTTTGTATTTTTGTAAATCTTATGTTTATAAAATTTAATCCCTGTAATATATCATATTATGTATATATGACGTTTATACCATATTAAATAATAATTACTCCCATTATTTTAAAATATATATATACATGTTACATTTTCTCCCATATTTTCTGTTTTATTTTTTTTGTTTGTACTTTAGTACCTGACTTGGATATATTTAATCCTTTATGCACAGATTTTAACTAGTCACTTTTGTTTATTCCTGTTCGCAGTTGATCTTCTATTAATTTTATTTATTCTTTTCTGTCTTCTACCCCATAGTACCTGACTAAATAAAATTTTCATCCATCTAGAGTTATTTTTTGTTTTATCAATGTCTTTTATTTTTTTCTTTGCATTTTCCTTTGTTTTCTTCTCGTTTATTTTCAATTTTTTTCCTGTTTCTTCTTCTGTTTGTTCATTATTTGAAAACAATTGATTGTCCTTAGACTCTTTTTGTTTCACCTCTTCTTCTTCATATTTAAGAACTGGATAATTCTGAAGGTATGAGTCTTCTTCATTGACCAACCGATTGCGATTATTTTGAATAGACTCTTTATGTTTATCGATTAATATAGATTCTTTTTGTTTGGCTTCTTTTTCTTCTTTTGACATGTTCATAGTATGTATTTGTAACGTTTCTGTTTTTAGTTTACTATGCATCAGTCGATTTATTATAGTAATAGTTACCTTTCGAGATTTCCTTATTTCTTCTAACCTCTTTTCTACCTTAGTCCTCAATTCTGGTGAAATAGGTTTGGTTTCCTCTGTTGTTTCCTTTGGTTTCACGATGACTTTAGGTTTGATTCTCAGTTCACTATTTATAGGAGGTAGTTTTTCTCTCACTACTTGCTTTCCTGAGCACCTTTCAATTCTTCTGTATTCAGGGTCCATAAAAGCATCAGGTACTACTGATTTCAATTGTAATTTTTGTTTCTTGTAGAGGAACCAGCTATTTGATTTTTCTTTGAATAAAAATGGTCTTCCTAAAAGTCCTTCTGCTGAAATAGGAAATGTGGAATCTACTATGTGGAAGAGAGATTTGATTCCAAGAATTTCTAATTCAACTGTCCCTATTGTATATAAATCCTTGCAACAAACTCCTTTAATACACGTTACATCTTTTGTATTTGCTGGCGCATCAGTTCGCAATACTGTAGCTTTTATAATATTTATTTTAGCCTCATTATCTTCAAAAAATAGAGTTTTATCACCTACAAGATAATTTACTTCCAACTCTACCGTGGGTTGCCCTCTTCCAATTTTATTAAGTTCAACAATGGTATTACATGCTGGAAAATGACTTCTATTGTCATCTACATTTCTAGGTTCAGAAGATGGTTTATTATCCACCATTGATATGTTATTTGAATATTCTTGATTATCATAATTTTCTTTATTTTCCCATCTAATAAAATCTGCATTATGTGCTTCATATGATTTCTGTAAAGTATCGTGGTTAACTACCCTTCGTTGATCAAATTCGAAATTCCTAGCATTAGGCTTAATGTAATTAGTATGTGTTTCCTGATCTATGCATGGGATAGGTTGTACTGGCTTAGACGCCGTCAGTAAAAAGTTGTAAAAGACATTTAAATAAGGTCTTCCTATTATACCATCTGTTTTTACTTCAAGATTAGGTTTTACTACATGAAAAGTATATTGTTTATCAAATATTGTAATTTCTACTGTGCCTAGTGTGTAAAATCCAGTTTTTGACACTCCTGTCATGTACGATGCTTCAGAGGTTCTAACTGGCGCATCAGGGCTTAACGCGTCAGATTTTATAATGTTAATATCCGCCCCTGCATCTACAAGAAAACTTGCTTTTCCTCCTACTAAATAATTCCCAGGTAATTTTACTGCAGGTGATTCCGTGACTGTTTCACGTATTTTCAAGGTGATGGGGTTTCCTGAAACCACACCGTAGTTGGACGCATTTGATTGTCCGAGCCCATCGTCGCGTCTTCTCGACGAGCAAGTTCCCAGTTTAAAGGACTGTTACTATTATTTCTTTCTACCGATGCTGTTCTACTATTAGAGTAATTATTTCTTTCTTTATTTGCATAATCTGTGGGGTATCT